TATTATTATTATTATTATTATTATTATTATTATTATTATTATTATTATTATTATTATTATTATTATTATTATTATAAATTATTGCTTACCCGATTCTGATAATCTTTTACATATCTTTTACTTCTTTATCTAACAATGATTTTCGACAATTCTCTCTTAAGGGCTTAACTCTTAAAATTGTTAATTATCCGTTGAAATTTCTTCTTTTGTCTATGTATTCAAATATGTATATAAATGATAGTACATATTTACAGTAAATTAAAATCGAATGCTTAAATTAAAAATTATTTCCTGGTTAATTTTAATGTATAACAAAATTTAGGAATTTTGATAATTCATTGAGCATCTATGTTCATTATGATAGACGTCATTTATAACCTTAATAGTATATCAAATTTGGAAATTATTTTTTATAATTCTTTCTGAATATAATTCTTCTAATGGTAGAGAATTATTCTCGGAAAAAATGACATAATACAGTAAATTACACGAGGAGGAATAACATAAAAAAAAAACTTGGGATGCTAACTTTATTTTTAACGGATTTTAACAGTAACCAAATTTAGCAGAATTAGATTTTGGAAGTTTAACAATATTTAAATTTATAGATAGATTTGAAAATGTTGAAAATTAAACTTCAAAAAGGGTTAAAAGTTATATAAATGTATTTCGAAATATATATTTAATATATCTAGATAATGATTAAATGGTAAATATATATATATATATATGAAATTAAGGTGTGGCCTTGCTCATTGTGATAATATTGTATAAATGAATATGAAAATAAGAATCAAGTTTATTTAAAATTACATAAATATCAAAATTAAATAATTAAAAATAGGAAAATGTCAATTATGCTAATTAATTAATGTATCACAAAAATATCACTTTAACGGCTTAATATCCAAATGTTTTCTCCAATAAGAAATGACAAATATCTAATAATAAATCACATAGAAATTAACAAATATATAAATAACATTCTTCACAAATAAATAAAATAATTACATTTAATCAAAATTATAATTTACCTGTTTAGGATCCATTTCTTCTCTGACTTTCATCCAATCATCATATTTCTCATATAAACTTCTAATCCTTTTGCCATATTCTTCAGGAATAATTTTACCCCAATGACATCTAAAATTATAAGGCTGAAAAGCATCCCAATATTGTTGAAGAAATTCACGTGGGGTACCAATAGGATTTTTTTGAAAATATTGAATATCAATTCGTATACTGTCAGTATTATATGATTGTGACAACCAGAAATGTGATTTTTTAGTAGTATAGATTTCTGTTGCAAAATTTCCTACAACTTTTTGACCACCAGATTTGAATAAATTATTTAAAGTATGTACAACATCTATAAAGAACATATTGAAATTGATTATGAAAAGAACAGATAAATAATAATATAAGGAAGAATATTCAAAAATAATTATTATTTACCACTGGTTTTCTCAATAGGGAATAATAATTCACTAAAAGTTACTGGAAAAATCGTGTCCGAAACCTAAATACGAAATTTTGTAAGATATTTTATCAAATTATGTAAATCGAATAAAAAAAATAAAGAGTTAAATTAAATTAAATTAAATTGTAATTGCCTTATCATCCACAGGTAGTCCACTGTACCATATGTCTTGAAATTCTTGAATACCAATTGGATTAAATAAACTTATTAAATAAGCAGCAATTTTTTTATAAAATTTATTCTCTGATGAGAATAAATTTAAAGCTATCATCACCAAACTAGCAACTAATTGAGCAGGAATTTCTGAACCAGCAAAAACAGGAAATTCATTATAAGAATTAATAGGTAATGGAGTTCCATCAGTACTTTGAATAGGAATAGGTTTAGCTTTCCAAATTGTTAATCGATTGACACCATCTTGAGGCCACCAAAAAATTCGAGCATAATCAGCATCATATTCTTTACAATTAGTAAAAAATTCAAAAATACTTGGAATTTTTTTTTCTTTATCACCATCACCAAGTAAATCAATTGGACAACCAAGGTTGAAATCATTTGATAAAGGGGTAATTGGAGCAATAACTTGATTACCAGTAATATAATAATTTTTTATAAGTTTGAAAGTAATCTTTGTAATAATTCCAAGGAGACCTAAAGAAACACCAGCTGCAAGAAATTTTGAATTATCAGCATCGTCAATTGAAAGGTTATGAATATCACCTTTACCATCAATAATACGAATTTTAATGATAGAATCATGAACACTATTGATTAAAGTACCACCGGATGAACCTGTAGAGATAAAGCCACCAACAGTTTGGTGAGCAATACCGCCAAGGTCAGGAAGAGCATAACCAGCCTGATCTATAATATAGTTAAAACTGTTTTGAAGAGTAGAATTTTCAACATCTTCTGGATCCTGATTAAGATGTGTACCAGCTTTAACGGTGGCAGTATGGTTTTTAGAATCGATTTCTACACCGTGATATTTTTCTAAACATAAAAACCTTATCTATTATAGATATTTGTGGTAAAATTAGAAATTATAAAATCAAACGGACTTATGGAACAATTGGAATGGACTTGAATTGAAACGTTCCAACTAATCCAATTAATCCTAATATTTTTAAATGGAATATTAATGCTTAATTAATGTTGGTTGTTATTATCGTTATGGTCATTAATAATGTGGGTCATTAATGTCGGTCACGTGAATTACATTATATCCAATCAAATTATAACCGAACTTTAGATTGTGATTGTCGAGAAATTTTTTTTTTAAAAAAAATTTTGTGTCAATTGATAAACGGTTAATCTTGATAAATTTTAATAAAAATATTTCGATAACCATAGAGGAAAAATTCCATAACCAAAAATAAAAACAATTTCATCGAATTTGGTTAGAAAGTTGTCAATATGTACTTATAAGGATTTAAAATGTCAATCACGCAAAAGTGCAAAAAGTTGAGATAACCAAATTCAATAAAATTTATATATTTTTTATATCAACTTTTTTCCTGAAATTTTTTAAAGATTTCTCGACAATTATCTAATTAAATCCAAATGAAACCATTTTTTTAAAAAAATTTACCAAAATAAACATTTTCATTGAATTTGGTTAGGCGATAATATTTTATTTTTTTAAAAAAAAAAAATTATATTATATATGTTGTAAGTGGAAAACGGAATTTAAATGGACTTGTAATTTTTATATAAAACCCACATTTTAGGGTTGATTTTGTCATATAAGCACCCCAATTCCAATTTAGCTTAAATTCCATTCTCACTTACGACATATATACTGATTTTTTTAATTGAACTTGAACCAATTTCATTACTGTAATATTCCAATTAAATTTCAATTTGATAATTTCAGTTGACAACACTAAAAAAACTTACCTTCTTTTCCCCCCCAACAATATCTGAAACATCAAGAATTGCTTCAGGAACAGAATGTCCAGATCCAATAACTCTAACAATAGTATTACCATCTTCATAAGCATCTTTTATGATTCGTTGAATTTCGGTCTCTTCAGTAGGATATTCAATCTTAGTTTTACTGGGTAATGTAGTATGTATGCGTTTTTTTACGGGTTTTGGAGTAGTCCATTCATCTTTAAATAAATCTAAATAACGTCTAATTTTTTTAAGGATTCTAAGTTTTTCTTTGTTGTCATTTGTTTCATTAATTTTGAAAATGTGATCTTTAATATATTCATGATGTTCTTCAGGTTTGTGATCTTGATGTTTGAAAAAGCCGAAGATTTTATCCATAGTTGATAATGAATTTCTTTAGCAGAGATTGTATGAGTGTATTTGCTACATGCAAATAAATGATAGATCAATTGGCGATACTTTAAATAGCTTTCTTTTTGGCCAGTACATTTTGAATGAAATTGAGGAAAAAAAACGCGATCAAGAATAAGATTTTTAATCGCGCTTGATATATGTATATATATGTATATATATATGTATATATATATGTATATATATATGTATATGTATATATATAGATATTATAGATATAGATATAGATATAGATATATAGATATAGATAATAACAAAGAAAAAGAAGCAACAAATAAAGATACTAAGACGTTTCAAAGTACCTCGCCGAAATTCACATTAGTAATCATCGAAATAAGAAATTAATAAAAAGATCGTCGAAAATCATTTGCTCGTCGAAATTCGTCGAAATATAAAAGTTGAAATTAAAAATTCGTCGAAATTCGTCGAAAAAATGGAATGAATTTCGGCTAGTAACATTAGATTGAAAATTGTACAAGATGGCAAAAATCTTAAAAAATAACAATTGATGAACTCAAAAAATGCCTACCTTCTAAATTTAATAAATGATATAGACAAAAAGTAGAAATCATAGTAATTACTGACTATTTATCAAATAACGTTGCATGCCGGCACAAAAATAAATTTGGTCCGTTTTATAAGGTTTCACTAATAAAACCAACGTTCCGTGACCGTTACAACCCCATTTTTTTTTTTTACATTGCTTTAGCCACGCCGACACGATTATGAAATTGGGAAACAAAGTAGCATATTACGATTAAAAAAAATGGGGGTTGTGTCATGTAATTTTTAAATAGTTGTTACGTTGCAACAATAACAATACGTATTGGTATAACGTAGATCACACAGGATCCGCAGTTAATAAAAGATTGTCCAATGATAAGATTTATTTAAAATTTAAATCTAATCTAATTTCGAATTACCGATTTTACCAACAAGATTAGCTTCAGGAGGTTTATATAATTCACGTGAGACAAAAATAGAACCCAAAATTGGATCAACGTTCTTAAGAAATTACATTTAATTCGTTGACTGTGGTAAAATAATATACAAAACGTGGCGCATCGTTTGGTGCATATTTTTTTAAGATCGTCTAAATATTATTTATCGTGTTGAAGTAGATCACAATGATGGAATAGGTGAGTAAAGTTTGACATGATTCTAGACAAATCTTTTGTGTCTTTTGTAAGCAAAAATCAGTTGATTAATCAAATGACAGACTTGGGGAATTTATTGAGACTGCTATTAAAGTCGAACTAGTGAAGCCACTAGAATGCACAGACTATGCAAACATTCAGACCTTACGTAAACTTGCATGATGACGACATGGCATTCTCATGTGATAATATGCTAATTTTTAAAGGCGCTTTATATACAGGGGCATGTCTAAATGACTCTACCCATGTAGTTTAAGTCCGTTTGTAATATTTTAAGTCGGATTAATTCGATGTCATAATAATCGGAAATTCTGTAGATTTTTAAGAATTTGATAGATTTCCCAAATAAATATATAAATATAATTGGTAACTGACTAATCAATCTAGAACCTTGGAAATTTCTTCACAATAATTATAAAATAACTACAACCGATATCATTCCTGATAGATTAATGCTTTCAAAATTATATCCGAGACTAATTGGTTAATTTTTCCTATTAAGGATTGGACCAAATTATATTGGTATACTGTATATTAAAGTAAAGTTTTTTCTTGATTATTGAAATCAAACGTATTTAAACTTGTAAATAAAAAAACAATGTTGAGGCTCTAATATATTAAACACGTTTGTTATTAGCAAATTATCGTATAGACTTTCAGGTTATTTATTAAATTGTTATTTTTTTACTGAGTATAATCTCTAGCAACTATAAAGAATTAAAATTAATAATTTTGAACTTTATATTTAATTTTTATAATAATCTGTGGCTATTTTTTTTAAAAAAATACAATTACGTAACCAACACTACAGTTATAAATTAAAAATGAGGTTCTAGAAGAATTTGTCATAATTTAATTGCTTATGTTTATTTTTTCACCCACTTTAACATGATTTTTTTTACAATACCCGCTTGTGTGTACATATTAAAATTTGAATAAAAAAAACTTCTTTTAAAACCAGAAAATCGCAACACTATAATAAAAGCATGGTTAAGTAAAGGTCACTACTATTTTTTTGGAGGTGGACAAGCTATAATCCAAGTAAAAATTGCCTAAACTTGTATATTATTATTGATTATTACATATGACGAACGATTCGCAATCTAGTGTGTAAAATTTTAAATTCAAATAATCTACGGATCATAGAGTTCAAATTCGGATAAATCCGTCGTCCATTTATCCATATCTGAATTTATCCGAATATCCGTTATTATTGGTATCTGGATAATCTGATAATTATTCGGATAGCAATAGTAACAGAGCGGATAATCGGATACTTGGATAATGGATTACGGTATATGAATAAACGGTTAATGGATTGGAACTCTAACTGATCGGATTGCGTTTTGCATGATTACTTAATACTAGTGCTCCGTAAAATCAAACCAAATTTTGAATTTGAATCAAATATTTGAAATTATTTGATCAAATTAGTTAAAATTTGAACAAATACTTTCAAATATTTGATCAAATTAATTAAATTTGATTAAATAATTTCAAATATTTGATCCAAATTCAAAGTTTGATTTGATTTTGCGGAGTATTGATTAATACATAAAAAACTAGAGGAAATAATTGGATGTCAAATCCAGATAGTACTCCGAAAACTAAATTCAAATGTACTCCGAAAATCAAATCCATATAGTACTCCGAAATCAAATCCCGACAGTAATGATGCTTAATTGAATCCTTAAAGAATAAGATCATTAAATCACAGATATAATATCCCGAAAGTTAAAATTATGAATCCGAAAAAAAATCGTAATCCGAAAGATTATAAGCGATGATAATTTCTTACCATTTTACTTCTCCAAAACTTCCAACGGTAATATTCTCTGTTATTTCATTATAATCAATGAAAGGTTCAAAGTTAAAAGAATCTATTTTAGTGAAACGGATAAAATATTTGTCCTTTTTTGAAATATTTAAATACTTAAACTATGTATATACGTATAGTGACTATGATGTACTTAAATGAATTTGAGTTTTGTTCATGAAATGGAGTTTTTGGACACTTTCACTTCTATTCTATTATTTAACCATTCATAATAATTAATTCTAATTTTTAGGCTCCTACTTATTTCCAAAACCAGGTAACTTTGAAACCCCTGATGTACACATCTTCTATAAGAATCTCATTTGTGATTGCTTATTGATAAGATTACAATCAAATTTTAATCATTGCGTCAGTGATGTGATACGTAAACGATTACAAAATTTCTTTTAGGAATACATAAAAGTTTCATAATGCATATTGAATCTTAAATTTTAGTATTCACAAAAACGAGCTAAAAAATATTAAACAATACGTATTAAGTAATAACGTCTAGCCAATTTAGTTCATCACTAATCTCATTATTTATTAGATATATTTTAAATACTTAAATATTTTATACATACACACTAAATTAACGCAAATCAAATGTCATTTAAGTGATAAATATTTAAAAATCAATATTTGGCTTGTTTTAAATTTTAAATAGCATTTCAGGTGGATTTTATCATATAAATACCCATACTCTAACCCTAACCACTAATTTAACTTCATAGGCAGAAGTTTGTCTGATTGGCTAATAAATTCAATTTTACATTATTTATACAGTTTAGAGTACTTTTTTAAA